AACACACCTGATTTTATCAGTCTAACATGCAGCAGTGTAACCAGGTTTATAAATCAAACACACCTGATTTTATCAGTCTAACATGCAGCAGTGTAACCAGGTGTATAAATTAAACACACCTGATTTTATCAGTCTAACATGCAGCAGTGTAACCAGGTTTATAAATCAAATGCACCTTATTTTATCAGTCTAACATGCTGCAGTGTAACCAGGTGTATAAATCAAACGCACCCCTGTGGCGACAGTTTGTCCAGCCAGCCGCTAATGATGGGCGGGGCTCTCTCGGTCAGGGATGTGTAGCTGGCGTACGGGGAGATTGTCAGCTCATCGTCGGCCTCTGAGGGGAAGGTGTGGGGGGGCAAAGACAGGCAGCGAGGAGGGGGCGGAGCTTCTCCGACGGTGCTGTAACCCTGAGCATCTCCAGCGTGAAAAACCTGCGATAAACGCTTCTTCCAGGAGAATCGTTGAGCCCTGAAGGTTTGAATAAAACTTGATCAAAACACAACAGAGACTGTCTTTAAACCTGACTTTGTTTATGTTTAAACCTGACTTTGTTTTTGTTTAAACCTGACTTTGTTTCTGTTTAAACCTGACTTTGTTTTTGTTTAGCCTGACTTTGTTTCTGTTTAAACATGCCTTTTTTCTGTTTAAACCTGACTTTGTTTCTGTTTAAACCTGACTTTGTTTCTGTTTAAACCTGACTTTGTTTCTGTTTAAACCTGACTTTGTTAAACCTGGACCAGGACTATAAAGGTTTAAAAATCGGTCAGACTGCAGCTGTTTTTACCCATGATCCTCAGCGAGTCTGTCCTCCTCCGTCCTGGTCTCTCTGCTGTCTGATCTGCTTCTGTCGCTCTGCAGATCAGAACCCAGTCAGTCAGAACACTTCTACCTGCACTGGACCTGTTTCATACAGGACAGGGCCTCGGCGCCGCAGGGGGCGGGGCTTGTTGTGTCTCACCTCAGCGGCGTGTGGAGGTCTTCTGCTTTGGAAAACAGATTCACAGTAAGGGCTGATCTCTTCCTCCAGATCATCTGTGGAACCAAACAGAACAGTTAAAGGTCCAGCCTGAATGCAGGAGATCTGTAGGAACGGGTCTGGTTCTGGTTCTGGTTCTAGACTCACCTCTGGCTGATCCTGAAGAGTTGTTGCTTAAAGTGCTGCCACTGAAACACAGATAATCAGTCTGATTTTTACACATTTCGTCTTGTCGTATAATTCACCTGGTCTGACTGACCCACCTGTTCCTGTCCGAGGCGTTTCTGGGCGGAGTGGGTGGAGCTTGGCTGCAGTAACCCCTCCCACCAGTGGGGGCAGCAGAGATGGGAGAAGTGCCCCAGTAGATGTCGTTGGAGACCATCTCAATCCCTCCCCCGCTGGGAGAACCTGGGGATCCAGAGAGTCTGGTTCCGTCCAGACTCCCGGAACGAGAGGACAGCGAGGACGTGGCCCGTCTCAGTTCTGTCCGTGCAGACGAGGAGGGTGGGGCCACAGAGAAAGAGGGCGGAGTCACTGTAGAGGCGACGCGGTTCAGTCTCGGGGGGACAGGGGGGACCACTCCTCCAGCGTCCGACAGGGACAGACTGCGGCTGGGTCTGGTCCTGCTGGTCTGGCTTGGTCTCCGAACGTCCCCCGGAGTGGGCGTGGCCTCCAAAACTGAACCATGAGTGGGCGTGGCCTCTGAGGTTACAACACAACCTGGCGATGACGATAAGGTCGAACAACTGGGCGTAACCTCTGAGGTTTGACCAGGAGTGGGCGTGGCCTCTGAAGTTGAACCGGGAGTGGGCATGGCCTCCGAGGTTCGACGTGGAGTGGGCGTGGCCTTTGAGTCCAGACCCTCTAACGTGGTGAAGCAGATGGACTCCTGGGACAGCCTCCTGGACGTGGGCGGCGTCGGTTCAGGTGCGGGACAGAAATGAACGGGCGCCGTCCTGCGGCGGTTGAACACGGTCCGGGGTTTGGGGACGGGCTTCGCCGCCGCCGCGCCGCCGTCGGAGCTCATCAACATGGCCGCCGAACTGTCACTCAACAGGTCTGCCGTCTGATTGGCTCTCTGAGTCTCCGCCCTCTGGATGTGGCTGACCAGGCGCAGGATTCTCTTCCTGTGTCCCGTGGCGGTTACACCCAGGCTGACCAAGCCATCATGGTCCAGGTGGGTGAAGTCTCGGGCCAATAGGAGGCCGGCTCTGCAGAAGGTGTCAAGGTACCTGTGGGGGGGGAACGGATCAGGTGATCCATCGGCAGGATTGAAACAGATTAAAGCTGCGCTCTGCTCACCTGTCCAGGTGGATGGCTGCCAGGAGCGTCTCAGCCGACGTGCTTCCGTCCAGCGAGGCCATGATGACCAGCGTGGAGTCTGGACCGGGCTGCGTCTCCTCCGCCTGCAGGAAACACGGCGGCCATCACGGACCTACAGCAGGAGCGGGCGGCGGCGGCTCATCTTCAGGAGACAAATACAGCAGGGTCAGGTAACTTCCTCCACAGCAGGGTCAGGTGACCTCTGACCTCTTAGCCCTGAGTATCGCCTGCAGGCTCGAACATTAACACCAGTTTATCGCCTGCAGGCTCCTGGGTGCTCCTCAGCAGGACTGATGGACCTCACAGGGTCTCATTTGTCCTGGAAACTGTCCCAATAAGGAAACACACACACACACACACACATACATACACACACACACACACACACACACACACACACACGCACGCATAGGATGCAGGGAGTGCTGCAGCAGGGTGTTGGTTCAAGCTAAAGGGTGGAGAGCTTTCAAAGGAAAAACTATGTGTTTGTGTGTGTGTGTGTGTGTGTGTG